TAGTATTGAGTTTCAGGGCTTATTCCAAGCATCGAGTGCCATATTTCCATGTTTCGGGATCATTTAGCATCATATTTTAGTGCTGGAAATTACATGTTCATAGGCCATCTTTCATCCCTTGCCATGCTTTGGTAGAGTGGCATTTTATGCCTTAGGTTTGGTCCTCGATTTGCGTGCATATGTGCACGCATTTCGGTTGTCTCATTTTCATCTAACGGCTACTGATGTGAGTGTGGCTGAGGTCCACTCATGTTGGTGTAAGTCCATTATGCATTGTATATGCCTTTTCAATTCATAGCATTGCATATACTAGGTTGCGTGTTAGAGCATTGTGTATGCCATTTCATAGCTTTGCATATGCTAGATTGTATGTTAGTCGCATTGTGTATGCCATCTCATTTGCATTGCGTTTGGGATAAGAGTTAGCCCGAGCACGGGAAGCGAGGGACGTTTCGTACTCCGAGTGACGGAACGTGTCTCAATTCCCTGTCGCCGACACTCCAGATTACCCATGATGAAGTTTAGGTCTTGTTGTGTTTTCGTGTGCATTCATCTCATATTGAGTCGTGCAATTCAGCTCCTCGGCCATTCTGCATCGATATGCATGATTGGTGGCACGAGGATCGAGGACTACACTCCCTGAAGAGTAGTCATGCATACATATGTGAAATACTTTGCCATGCCCCTTTGTTGCTCTCTGTTGCAGTAAATTAGAAATCAGCGACCTTTTGGAGCGTTGCGCAATATTCTGAAAACAATTGCAAACAGAGGCGAATCGGGGCATCGCAATGGATTTCCGTGCCAGGCAACCCAAGCATGCATCTTTCATCATTCGGAACAGAGTTGAGGCAGTCCATGAGCTTGCATACTGATTTACTTGCTTTCCTAGATTAATTCGTTAATTAATTAGGGTTTGTAATATTTAATTATTTATTCGGACTGTAATATTTATTCAGACTGTATTATTCTTTCGGACCCTCTGAGCGAGGGCAATGTTGTAATAAGTGTGCGTGAGTGTGATGTATGTTTTCCAACCCCACGTCTTTCTCCCTTTTATTTACCAGCTTATAATGGTTAGATTAGGGCATGTTTCAATTAGCATATAGTATGATAGCATGTTTGCATCATTCATTTATCTTGCATGCACTGGGCTCGGTGCATCATACTAACTGCATTTGTATTTCAATTCCAAGTTGAATACGTGTTATCCGTCGCATTTCACATGCCATCTTTAGAATAGCCGAGCCTATCTTAGTTGCATTTTGCATGTGTTACATTAGACATTTCAGCATAGTTAGGATCATGCATTGATTTCTAACATAATTTCTGTTTTGGCTTGGAGTACTAGGTAAGCTTTTATGCTTTAGCATCCTTGCATGTGTGTGAGTGACTGCCATGATAGCATGCTTACCATGAGGCTATGTGCTTATATGATATAACTACCTGAATGCCTGTGGGTGAAGGTTGGGTTATTTGGATTGGAACAATTCATTAAATGCGAGTTTTAAGCCCACTTGATAGTGGCAAAATCATGTTTTTTCTAAGCCCACCCGAGGGTGGCAAATCCACATTTTAAGCCTACTTGCGAGTAGCAAACCATTTTCAAAACAAACATGAGATGTGTTGTTCCAATTCAGGCGATCCGGTCTATATTTGTATGCTGTGCTTACCGCATAGTGAATCTAGGCTAATAACCGGAATAAGAACGCATAGTGTTTTCAAAACTAGATATCATGGTTAGTAGAGGCCGATCTTTGATCAGGCGAGCGGGGGTGCTCACGAAGTGACCTTCCCCAATCGTACCCAAGTTCCCGAGCCAAGGCAACTTTGGTGATAATGGACACGTGGCCTTAGGCAACGAGTCAGGGTTTCCTAAATTTTCCAAAATAAAATATTTAGGTGGTGACTCTGTATTTGGCAAAGCAGTCCATGTTTGGCACTTCTTTCAAAAAAATTTATTTTCAAAAACGATTTGCCGGATTTGGACTCTTTGATGATTCATCGGTCTTGCATTGCACTCTACAAGATTAGATACAGGACCGTGACATTGAGTCCTGAACTGTAGTGAGCCCAATGAACAAAACCGAGGGGGGGGATTTCCTCCCGGGACGTTCGGGGACGTCTACACTTACCAACTTGGGGGTGCTAGCAAATGATAGGATGGGCTTTTTGGTGTCAACATAGTTGGGATGATCTTGCTCATCGTGATACTTTTACATTCACCTCTCTTTATTGATGTATATTGTTTTGTACTTTGCTCTTTTATCAATAAAATATATATATATATATAATTAATACAAAAAAAAGTTACAACAATAATGTGACAATATCATTATTATAAATAATGACATTTTCTGTGGTGTTTTATTTTAAAATGAATGGCTCATAATAAGCTATATCATTATATATGAATTTTTTATTTGTATAACATTACTCTAATTATATTTACAAAAAAAAAAAAAAGAAGGTATGTGATCCATATTTATTTGAAGTATGGACATCCTCTTAAATTGTGCGTTAGGCAAGTAGGTTTTTTTATTTATTTATTTTTGTTTTTAGCAAATTTTTTTAGATTTTTTTAATTTTTTATTTCATATTTAGGTTTTACTAGATTAGACGGACCTATAAAAAAATTGAAAAAAATTTACTAAAGATGATGAAGTTGAATTTGAGGGGTTTGTGAGACCCACCACAGGTCTTGCTTTGATGATCTGAATCATTCGTTTTGTATTGATCTCCAATTTTTTTTTCTTTTAGAAATAGAAAAATAAACAATATATTAAAAATAAAAAATAGAGTACAAGAACTACAAAAGGAAAAAATATATATTACAAACACAAAAAGTCTCAAAAAATATCGTAGTTTAAGAAGATCATAGATCTACTCGTAGATATGGTTTGGGCTCCAGCCTATGGATTGAAGGTCTGCCTCAAGCATAAAACCATACTCTCGCCGTCACCGAAGACGTCGTCTGCCTCCACCGTTGCTTAAACTCCACCATTGTCGCCGCTATACCAGAAGACTGAAACTCAAGAAATCCACAACATCAAAGAAACTATTCCCTTCGTTTGCTTTCTATATATATTATTCTAAAAATAATAATAATAAATAAATAAAAATTAAGACAGTCAAATAATCGTAACATTTTATTTTATCATATTTGTTCCTCAAAAAATATATTATTTATTTTAGAAAATACACTTGTTGTCCATTTTTTCATGGACAAACACAATAAAATAAAATAAAATAAAAAATTATGATTATTGGATAGACCTAATTTTTTCTATGGATGATATACACGGATAACCGTAAGTACTGAACAGTTAACAGGATCTGTAGTGAGTCCCCAAAACCCTCCAAATTCTCTCAAATTCAAATTTAAATAAATAAACATAAATATAGGGACCCAGATTTTAGATCTTAGAATTGAGCCTAGAATGATATGTGTGATAGAAATTGAAAGTGTGTATCGTGAAGCTTATGTATAAAATAAATTTGAGTCACATATTGATGTTTCAGGATAATTTATGAGGAAAATTTTTGAACATGTAGTATTACGGTAAAAAAAAATAAAAATAAAAAATTCAACCTTTATTTATATGTAGGATGATTCCCTCCAATCCATAATTTAGACTAAAGGGCGATTTTTAGGTCTGTGCAGTCCATCACAAGTTTCGTTTTGATGATTCGAACCGTTAATTGTGTAACACTAACGTATTTTATTCACAAAGAAATATTAAGTTAATCTGATAATCGTAACCTATTCAATTTATTATATTTGCAAAAAAAAATGACAACAATTATATTTTTAAAAATAAATCATCTATTTTTTGGTAACAAATGCAATTAAATTGAATATGTTATAATTATTGGATTAATTTAATTTTTTAATAAAATATATAAAATATCTGATAAAATGAATAATTCAGATCATCAAATTGAGATTCATAATTGACTCTGTGGATCGAAACAGTCAAAGATACTGCCTCCTACTGGAAGTGTTTGGAAGGTGGTTTAATTAAAAATCAAGAAAATAAAATAAAATAAAATAAAATATTATATTTAAAGTATAATTATTTTATTTTTTCTCTTATAATCATCGAATTAACTATAACAAAAAATTATTATTATTCTAAACACTACTTTTTTTAATCAGCCTAGAATAACTAAAAAAATATTAAAAGAAACTAACTGAAATAGTATATTCCAAACGGGTACCTAACAAATTAGCTGACATTATAAAAACAATTAGCTGACATCAAGCCAATAAAAAGACAAAACCTAAATGAAGCTCTATACGCGACGCGCACCTCTCGAGCTTGGGTCTTCTCATTTATTAGTGCCTATCACCCGTCCTACGTAGGAAATTATTATAGATATTTATATTTATTTTTGATTTTTTTTAATATATAATTTATGTTTTTTAAGATTTTTAAAAAAAATACTACAATAACTATATACAAATTATATCTATAATTATTTATATAATAAAATTTTAAATGCTGATCAAGAAATTTTGACCAAATCAATAAATGCAGACATGTAAAAAGACATATAAATTAAAAAAAATTAATAAATACTGATCAAAAAATTTTGATCAAATCAATAAAAGTTTAATTTTTTTTTAAATAAAAAATTTTAAAAATTTAAATTAAAATATTAAAACTCTTTAGAGATTAAAAACCTTCTTTTACTTAATACACAACATAGATTTCCAATTTCTCACAACTTCATTTGCTCCATCATCATCAACTCCATCCACTTTTCTCACTACCTCATTTTTTTCTGTCTTCTTTTCTTTTCCTTTCCTTTCCCGGAAACGCCTCTCTCTCTCTCTCTCTCTCTCTCTCTCTCTCTCTCTCCATCTAGAAAACCCATGTCCGTACACACCATGAAAAGCTCTCCACATCCATATTCTTTATTTATGTAGAAGAAGAAGCACACCCTTTTCACCTCCCTCTCTCTCTCTCTCTCTCTCTCTCTCTCTCTCAAAAAAAAACATGGATAAACCACTCAGTGTTCACGAAAAGAAGGCAACCAAACAGACCAAAACCAAGAAAAAACCTGTCAAGGTTGTTTACATCTCCAACCCCATGAAAGTGCAGACTAGTGCCTCAGAGTTTAGGGCTTTGGTTCAAGAACTCACCGGCCAAGATTCTGTGATGCCGGAACACGGTAAATATTGTGAAAGCGACACTGTCACTAACAATCCAACGGTCCCAGATGGGATCAAGATCAGTGATGATGATGATCAAGCCCCAGAAGTCCCAACAATGGAACAAGAACAACCCCAGAGGTCTGATCCTGCATTTGAGCCGTACGATGATGTGTTCATGCCTCAGATGCTAGAGAACTTTTCTGGGTTTTTCTCACCAAACTACTTTTACGAATCTCCTTCCCCATGTTGATGTGTGATCAGAAGGCTAGATGCGCTGTAAAATTGGTAAGCTATTTAATTTGCTACTCTATGCCTAAGGTTTATTTTCTAAATTGTAATTAACTTATGTTTGTAATTTTCATTTTCCTATGTTTTTAATGAATTGAATAGTCTATTATGCCTTTTTATGTAAAAGTATTTCACACATGTCATTTCTACTTATGTTCTAGCTTAGGGTTAAATTTTATTTTTTTTAACTTTTTAATATTTCATCTGATGAGATTAAGAGAGGTAGTGATCATTTTTATGGTATGTGAGATTGAACTAAAAATGGGATGAAAAGGGTAAAATAACACTCTTTGGGGACCCAACTTTTTTTTTTTTTTTTTTTTTTTTTTTTTTTTTTTTTTGGGTCTTAATTACAAAGACGAGTTTAACAAAGAGAGTCTCCTGAGAGATATGCCTTTAGGGCTTTAGGTTGTAACCAAACATGGCCTTGTTGAGGTAACCACGTTTCCTAGCAAGAAAATATCTGCCTAAAGCAGAATAAGTGGTGGATATCAAATTCCACGTACTATGGAAATTATAATCTCAGATTATCATATATCCATATTTTTTAATTAATTATTATTTAATATATTTTTCATGTTTTCTAATCCCTTAATATAATATTTTATTTATTTATATTTTTCTTCAATTACTATTTTTTAAAATACCACGTGTCTTTTATAAAATACCACGTGTCCGATTTCCAAAATTACTTTATAATTATCCCGTATACTATAGCATAAGATTCATGGAAATAGGAGATATTAAGCAAGGGTGTGTTTGGTAGTCTACCAAAAATGAAATTGTTTCCTCCATTTCCAACTTTCTATTGAATCATATCGTGACTTGAGATTATCGCATCTTGAAAATTTGGAAACACTGTCCATGGACTTTTTAGAACACCTTTTTAGTTGTTATGACTTATGAGAACAAGCTATATAGCACGTCACGTAATCATGGCTCATAACATATATATATCTCCCCCCCTCCCTCTTCCTTCTCTCTCTGTTATATTTTTAGGAGATATTAATATGAGTGTATTTGTATAAAAATAATTATAGATCATTGAAAAACTTTATCAACATTAATTAAAGTCATAAGTTTTTCAATGATTCTGTGATTGTTTTTTTAAAATGCACTGGATTGTAGTTTTTCCTCTTCATTTTTTGGACAAATTACACCAACAATGCTTATTGTTTAGAACTCGTGTTCGTTTGGCTTCTAATTTTTCAATTGTGACACATTTAACCTTAAATTTTAAATCTTATATTAAATAAGGACAATTAAAAATATTATTGCTTAATTTTAAGAGCAAAATCATCAATTTGATAAAATATAAGTTAATTTGATAAAAATAAATGTCAAAAAATATTTTTAAATTTTAAAAAATTATTTCTACTCACAAAAAATAAAATTATGTAGAATTGATAAATCTTTTAAATTTTTATTTATTTATTCAAGTTTTTTTTACCTACCTTTTTAGCCAATTAGCCAAAAAGTTACTAAATTAGCCTGTTCCCAAACGAGGCCTAAATAAGGACAATTAAAAATATTATTGCTTAATTTTAAGAGCAAAATCATCAATTTGATAAAATATAAGTTAATTTGATAAAAGTAAATGTCAAAAAATATTTTTAAATTTTAAAAAATTATTTCTACTCACAAAAAATAAAATTATGTAGAATTGATAAATCTTTTAAATTTTTATTTATTTATTTTATTTTATTTACTAAATTAATTTTTATGATATGCTTGGATGATCATGTAATAGGTAGTTGTTAGAATTTTAATGTGTAATCGATATATTTAATATATGAAATCTTTTTAGTTTTGAATTTTTTGATTTAATAGATTGGTTTAATAATGATATCAAGTTGTCGTTATATTTGACTTTTGAAAAAATAAAAATTAATTTAATGAAAATAAAAACAACCACCCATTACATAATCATCATCCAAACACATAATAAAAATTAATGTGGTAAAATAAATAAATGTCTAAAAGATATATCAGTTTTACATAATTTAACAATGATTCATCCTACTAAAAACATCACCACTAATAGCACTAATGCATTAAAAAAGTAAAAAAAAAAAAAAAATACAACTCCAAGACCAAAACATCACATCATTAATGGCGGGACTCACTGCCACCTAATTAGTGGGAGCACTAATTAGTGCTTCCAAGCATTTTTTCTTACATAATTTTATCTTTAGTGTATAGAAATAATTTTTAAAATTGAACGGAAAAAAAATGACATTTATTTTTATCAAATTAGTTTATATTTTATTAAATTGACGATTTTGCCTTTAAAATTAAGGAATGGTATCTTCAATTGTCTTTATTTAGAACAAGATTTAAAATTAAGAATTAAATGTATCACAATTGAAAAGTTAAAAATTAAAATGACCAAAGTTTCAAACTATAAGAACCGTTAGTGTAATTTATTTATTTTTTTAATTTGTAATTTTCTTTTTTTCCAAAACAAAACTTTTTTTTTTCCTTCAATGCACTAGATAATATTGTTTGTTGTATACATACAAAAGCTGCTTCACATAATCTTAGATATTAATTAGATATTTTCCTTGCCTACAGGGGATGAGAGGGAAGAACAAAAAGAATAATGATATAAAAAATAAAAAAACAAAAGGAAAAATTATAAAAGAAACCATATAGATTTCAAACTAAATGGTTTATCAAAATAACTTATTATTTTAAAATATCATGAATGGCTCAGAACATCTTCCACTCCCCCACTCTCTGTTTTATTTTTAGGAGATATTACATCTCAGTGTATTTGCATTAAAAATAATATGAAAGTTTTTATATTAATAATTAAAATAATAAATTTTTCAATGATTTTGTAATTATTTTTCTGAAAACATACTGTATTGTAGTTTTTCCTTATTTTTATTTTTTATTTTCTTTTTTTTCCCAAAACAAAATTTTCATGTTCTTTATCTTTCTTTCTTTCGTTCTTTACATGCGCTAGGTAATGTTGTTTGTTGTATACATACAAAAGCTGCTTCCCATAATGTTAGATATTGTCCCTTGCCTACAGGGGTGATGAAGATCAGAGGGAAGAACAAAAAGAATAATGATATATAAATAAAAAAAAGGGAAAAAAGAATTATAAAAGAAACCAAATAGTGTGTTTCGTTTCAATTTTTTGAATTTAATTTTCTGAAAATTGAATTTTTTTATTTTTGTTTATTTTTTTGTTTTTAGTGAATATTTTAAAAAATCCATGCAATTTTTTTTCTTTTTTAGGTGTACCTTACTTAGATGTATCTAAAAAGTAAAATATTTGTGAAAACATATTTTAAAAAATTAATAAATACATAAAAATATAAATAAAAAATGTACTGAATTTTTATAATTTTTTTTATATTTTTGTATTTAGTGAATTTTAAAAAACAAATTCACAAATATTGTACTTTTTAAGTAGATTTATGTTAAATGTCTCTAAAAGTTTTTTAAAAAAAATACTTAAAATATTAAAAAAATTCAGTAAAAATTAAAAAAAAATGAAAAACAAAAAAAAATAAAATTTTTTGAAAAAGAAATCAAAACCGACGGAGTGATTTCAAACTAAAGGACTTATCAAAATAACTTATTATTTTTATAAACATCACGACTATAATGTTCTAGTAGAATTTTTTTGTATGAATTTTTGGTTTGTAATTTCGAAACAAAATATGAATTTATTTTCTACAGAACTCTTTCATTATTACATTGGAATTCTACATGCAGACAAAATGGATACTATTTTCGACTGTAAAATTAAAACATTTTTTAACTAGTTAGGTATGCCTATAGTTATGCTCTCTCCAGGGTTTATTATTAAGCTTTTTAACCACTGATCTGAAGGCAATGAATATGATTCTACTCAAGGATGGACCAAGGGGCTAAAAGGGACAATGTCACTTTAAAATTTTATTTTATATTAAAAATATAATTGTGTTAGTTATGAATAGTTTTAAATTATATAACCTTTTATTGGACCAACAATGATTCATCCCACTAAAAACATCACCACTAATAGCACTAATGCATTAAAAAAGTAAAAAAAAATAAAAAAAAATACAACTCCAAGACCAAAACATCACATCATTAATGGCGGGACCCACTGCCACCTAATTAGTGGGAGCACTAATTAGTGCTCCCAAGCATTTTTCTTATTGGACCAACTTATCTCTATCTCTATTTTTCTTTATTCTTGTTCTCTTTTCTCTTTTTGTTCTTCTTTTGTTTCAATTTTTAATTTTCTTGTTATTTTGGTTTTCCTTTCAATTCCATCTCCGTTTTCAGTTTCTTTTTTTTATCTCACTATCTACTTTAAAACTTTTTCTTTTTTCTTTAATTCTTTTTCATCTGATTTCTCTATTTTGATTCCCTTTTACTTCTTCTCCATCTTCATCAGCTCTTGAAGAATTGAACACTCGATTTAAGGAAGGATGTGATGAATTCAATTTTCTGAAAATTAGTTTTTTATTTTTTGTGATTTTGTTTAGTATTTTAAGTAATTTTTTTACTTTTTAGATGCGCTTAATTTAGATATACCTAAAAAGTAAAATGTTTGTAAAAAAAATATTTAAAAAAATAATAAACACATAAAACACGAAAATGTATTGAATTATCCTTTTTTTTGTGTATTTTTGGTATTTAGTGAATTTTTTAAATATTTTTTCACATATATTATAATTTTTAATTGTATTTATATTACGTGTATCTAAAAAGTAAGAAATTTGCTTAAAATATTTTTTTAAATTCACTAAAAATTAAAAAAAAAAATCAATTTTTCAGAAAATTACACCCAAACAATAGTTCTTAACTTTGCTTCAGATCCAATGGATGGTTATAGTTATTTCAAAATTGAAGGTATTTGCAAGCTTGTAAATAATTTCTTTCCCAATCACCTCACAAAGTAAAAAAATTGCATTAAAAATTTTAATTGCAAAATTATTAGATTGATGTTCTTAA